GGGTTTCTTTCTCCCGAGCACCGCCTAGTCTACGCATGATTATTGAACCTGGAACTTTAGATACTATATTAATCAAGCTTATCTCCCTATGTTTATCACTGGAATACTACTCTCCCTTCTTATAAACTGGGATAATCATTGAACTATCTCTGATTCCCAGACATTACCTTAATACCTTAGTTAACCCAGGCAACAGTTTGTCACCACCGTCCTTAAACACTTCTGGAGTCATTCCAATAAGGTCCTGCTGCTTTGCAGTGTTTCATATTGGATGATAAATTGTTAAATGTATGTGTTTAAACAAAAATTTCCTAAAAAGTGGACTGCATATTGATGTATTCTTTTAATCTGCGGAACAGTCATTGTATGGAGAGAAACAAGGAGAACATTTATTAATTATATCTTATAATAAGAAATTTAGTTATTCGTTGTGCTCATCATTGAGTTTAATAAGTACAATCTTATTATGAGCTGACATTGGTTAGAGAACCATTGGAAAACCTGCAAGGAGTACTGGACGGTCAACTGTTTCGTCCTAGTTTGGGACTCTTCATCAGTACGCATCCACCGGGGTTCGAACCCAGGACCTTCTGGTTACCAGTAGGGTGCAGCAGGTCGGGTTTGAGGACAAATACTCGCCGAAGACATTGGCTAGGGGTCGCGCTATGTCGTGAATTGGCAGAAGTTAGAATTCATGGGTCATTGGATTGGGTCCCAGTGGCTTAATGGTCTACGAGCTTGCCTTGTAACCAGAAGGTCCTGGGTTCGAACCCCAGTGGGTGCGTAGTGCCGATGATTCGCAAACTAGGACGAAACAGCTGTCCAGTACTCCCAGCTGGTTTTCCAATGGTTCTCTAACCAATGTCAGCACATGATGAAATCCTGTAACCAATCAAATCCCTACAAACCAACACTTGGATAATCTTATTAGTTTACTTAGGGACTACTAGTGCGCACTGACTCCTACCTAGTTCAGTGGTAAGGAGTGAAATGGTTTTGCTGCTGTGTTGACCCCTTTTTATTCATTTGAGAAGTGGCGTTGACCCCCCCTAATGGTGGATTCATTGCTAACAGAATTTCAGTATAGATACAAAAAGCTCATTTCATATTTACGAGCTTGTATCATCTCTGAAGTCAGTATGATATCCAGATGGCTACCCAATGGTATTGTGGGCATCATTCAACACCTCGTTCTATCTTAATTTGGGGGAGGGGTGAGGCAGTTACTGGGATTAGAAAATATGAAAAGATAGATTAGAGGTTTTTGGACTATAAATGTCTTTGTTTAATTGTTGATATTATGTATGAACTAAAATGGCAGGTAATAACGGGCTTTTAAACGCAGAGTGTTAGATAATAAAGGGGTTGTGAAACTCCATTGATTTATAGTGGCTAGGATATGTGTTACATATACCAAAACACTTCTCTTTTCGATGAGTAGTGTCAACTGATATACAATCAGTTTGAAAGAGACTTAAATGTGGTTAGACCAAAAAGTTTGGCATCATTCTATGATGTTACTGACTACTGAAATGTACCATGTAGGAAGAAGGTATAGGCTACCTGACTTTGGGTCCTTGTAATACTAAAAATCAACTGTTCTATAATCATTGTGACATAGCCTCCGAATTGTTCACAATAGTGTAGATACATTAACTCTTTATCATCGAAAATCTGAGTGTTTTCACTACTCTTCATAAAAATTATTCTTTCTCCTATCTCTGCTCTCCCATTTTATGAGTACGTTTTCTGTGTGACTAATAATAGCTTAACAACACAAACACTGGAAATTATTGGATTTCTTTTTCGTTTTCCATACTTTCATAATCATCACTACGTATTCATAATTCTCGTCAAAAGTAAACTAAAAACCTTTGATCAGATGATGGGTTAATGGGGTTGCGGGTGGTGGTCTTTTAATTTCAAGACACGTTCTATCTCCCACGTGAAGTGGTATAATAAGGTGAGCAATATTGAGGTTAGGCGTCGAGTGCTAGGTAAGGAGGGGAAATCAGTCGACGAGACTGTGAAATTACATCGGCTGAGATGGTTAGGACATGTGTTACGTATGCCTAGTCATCGCCTTCCTCGACGGGCAATGTTAGCTGATATAGGGCAGGCTGGAAAAGAGCTAGCGGTGGTCAAACCAAAACATGGCACCAGTCAATGAAATCCACAACAGTTAGTCTAAGCCACGTAGGAAGGTGTAGACTTCCTGGTTGGGGTCCTCGGGACGGTAAAAACCAATGGTTGGAAACAATTGGTGACATGGCTCAAAATCGTTCTCAATGGCTGGCGCAGGTGCATCCACTCCTTGTGACTTATGATTTCCAATGAAACTGTTTTGTTCTTCGTTATTACTATTCCTTTGTCTCACACCTCTGTTTACTGTCTATAATATGCATTTCTTCTACTTTCTTCTCTTGCTTTGTGTGCTACATGAAGGGAGTGTGGCGACTTGAACTGCCGCACATATGTGCAAAGTTCTATGTCGAAAACCGACCGACCGAATTTCAAGACAGACTTCACCAGAAACCAAGGTGATATATCGATCCTTTTCAGGTGTATGGTAGGGAACCATTGTGGAGTCCATTTTAAACTTCTTCCACATTCAAACGTTCGAAAACATGGGTGACTAGACCTAGACAGAATGGTTGAATAGTAACTTGCTCGTCATGTGACATGTAGCTCTTGGGATCGACTCTACATACGATTGTGGATTTACACTTTCAGATACTCAAATTAAGATAGGATCGACTGTTCAGTACTGCCTAGTTTTTTAATGGTGCTTAACTTACTCAATATAAGATCGTGATGAAAACCGCTTCTATACTGGCCCTACAACTGAAAATTACTCATCGTGATCCCATAGTATCAGTCTAGCTTTGGTATTATGGTATACAGTGTAGCAACCTGTACACTTATACAACTTATACAAGGTTGCTGCTGGCCTCATGCCCAACCTTCCCTCTTTACCAGTCTTATTACTGGCTTAGCAAGGTTTAGGAGTGCGTCTGTGGCCGGGGATCGAACCCCGGACCCGGACCAAGTGAGGCGTGGTAGGCGAGGACTCTACCAGTGTGCCACCGACGCACAAGTTAATTGTGTGGGTTGAATATAATGAATGTCCTATGGCATTTGCACAGATTATAGTCAGATATTCCCAATGTTTTACAATGAATGAATCTTATGACCTTTACTATATCCATCATTAGCAGTTCACTGCTGTGAGTAATGAATTTGGAAAGTTGCATAAAATTAGAAAAAGCCGTTACTATCTTATTTACACTCTTTACCCCTTACATAGTGGTGAGTTGTGTCGGCTTCCTTGAGTATGATTTTTCTAAATTGTTGTCAATTTTTCTTTGGTTCATACTTGTGTTGATTTAATAAGTTCAGAGAATAAGCTTTATAGTGGTATTCAGTTTCATACATATTTAGTAAACCTTGTCATAAATATTAGTGGTGTGCGACTCAGTAACCATGGTACCACTAAACTGTTTACATCGAAGTGAATTGTTTTTATTTCAACTTTCAATGTTACCATTTAAAATATATAAATCGTTTGTTTATCTATATTAGACCAGTGAACTGTCTGTTGTAAATAGTATTCATTTCTTTTAAAAAGATTACTGATGCTACAGTTGTTCAGTGATGGATGATAATGTAGTCCGAATAGCTCAGTGGTAACGTCTCTGACTGCAGTACTCACTGGGTGACACGGGTTCGAATCTCAGAAGGGACATGAATTCCTTCAAAGTGTTAACCTAGGTCAGGCTGGGCTTCCTGCCGATTGCCTCCAACCATCTAGATAGATAGTATATGATTCAGACACTTCAATCTCAAAGATTTAATTACAGTGTTGTGTATTTATGAGGATAGGTAGACTAGAAGAACAAAAACCTGACAGATATTTTGAAATGCTACGTAGTATTGCTGCTTGACAGTTTAGCTCGTCATGCATCACACCAAGCACATCAAAGCAAGAAGTAGCAACTTTGAAAAGATAAAGAAATGAGATTGATAGTATCACATCTGTTTTGTACGAATTCCTAAAATCAATAGAGGTAGAAGTTAGAATTCATGAGCTATTGAATCGAGTCCCAGTGGCTGAATGGTTTACGAGCTTGCCTTGTAACCGGAAGGTCCTGGGTTCGAACCCCGGTGGGCGCGTACTGATGAAGAGTTCCAAACTAGGACGAAACAGCTGCCCAGTACTTCCTGGTTTTCAACGGTTCTCTAACTGATATCAATCCGTGATCAACTCGTAAAAACAAAACTAACCCTTACAAACCAAACTATAGAGGTAGAGTTACAAGAAACACAGGCATATTTTACTATGATTTAAATGAAGATAAGCAATAATGAAGGCATGTGTATCTGTATGGCCGATGTCAAGTCGCATCACTTAATATCTACGGGAATTGATTCAGCTCAGCCTGACAGTTGAAAACTAAATTGTTCTCATTTCGCTATTCGATCGTGTTACAATCTCTTCTATGGTGCTTACGGTATCGAGTATTAGGACAAACAGCGGTGCATATCCAATCGCCGAGTAGAGAGGAACATTAAGAATCTTATCATCAGTTGGCTTACTTCTTTTTAACTGGAAGCTTATATCTAAACTTCAAATTTATCTTCATGATGAATCCATCATACTCTGATAATGCCACAATAACTATGACTGCCAATGACATGAAGTCTTTGAAAGTCCTCCACTCTCAGTGGTTATTTTTCATAGACGCAGAATAAAACATATATGCTACTACTTAACGCGTACAAATGTTAATCTCCAATAGGATGTCTTGTTAGCCGCTGTGTACGCGGATGAAGTTACGAAAGAAGCAGATAAGACATATTTGGATGATAAAATCGAAACTCACATACACAACACACACTTTGTGCACTGACTTATTAGCTGAGGACGAACACCTCAGCGTTGTCTCTTATAATGACGATTAAATTTAAAAGTGTTTTTTTCTTAAAAATTTCATTAACAGGTCCTGAATATGCTAGTGCATCTATATTTGGATTTACACCACCACCATCCGATCTGTCAGACGGAGTATCTATTAACTGTGGAGACAATAATATTCCATCAAATTATTATCGTCCTATTGTTTCACGACTTGGCAATTATCCAATGTCTGGTTTAACAACACTCAATACAAATCACAACGGACCTACTTCATTACCGCTTACCGGGCCCACATATGAATTACACACCCACACGCATATTTCACCAAATGTAGTTTCCACTAACACTGGTACTATCAATAACAATAATAATAGTAATAATAATACTGGACAATTCCACTCTACTTTAAATCAACAAAACCCAGCAGGATTTCTATTTCTCCCGCGTTCACAAATCGGAGAAGGTGGATTTACTGGAGGAGGTAATAATATGATAAATCGTATATCACTCACTGCTAACCAGTTCCAACAGTTGAATCAAAACAACACTCCGTTTATCTCGACAATTAACGGAGATCCATACAATATCTATCAAGCAGCTGGAATGAATTTACCAGTTCAATCGAATTTACAAATGTATCAGCATAACCAACAACAACAACAACAGCAACAACAGCTGCAACTGCAACAACCAGTTGAATATAAAGTAAGTTAGTGTGGTTATTACAATAATGTGTCTGAACATATTTCATTTCAAAGTCTTTCACAGGTACATGCATTTGAACAGTCTAGCTTCCTGTAAAAACTATGATTATACCTTGACTTCAAATGAATCACCTCATCTTCTTTTAAAAATAAAATAATGAACTGGTGAACTTCCTGTCTTATTTATAAAGTATATCCATAGTCGTAACGAAAATATTCATAGGTTCATATTGACCACTTTACTTATTTGGAAAGTTGCGTCAGCCCCAACGGACTGATTGCTGACAAAATCTCTACACGGATAGAAAAGGCTCGTGTAGCATTTGCTAACTTACACCATCTCTGGTGTAGACGTGATATCCGTCTATCGATCAAAGGACAATGTGTACTGCACAGCAGTTCGCTCTGTCATTCTTTATGACTATGAGACATGACCATTGAAGCTGGAAGATGTGAAAAGGTTAGCCATCCTTTGATCATAGGTGTTTGCGTTATGTCTTCTGTGCTAAGTGGTATGAGATAATCAGTAATAATGAGGTTAGACGTAGAATGCTAGGTAAGAAAGTGAAGCCAATCGATGAGGTTGTGAAGTTACGTCGACTGAGATCGATAGGGCATGTGTTGTGCATGCCGAATCACCGCTTTCCTAGTCGAACAATGTTGGTTGATACACTGGGTTCGAACCCCAGTGGATGCGTACTGCCGATGATTCCCAAACTAGGATGAAACAGATGTCCAGTACTCCAGTGCTGGTTTTCAATGGTTCTCTAACTGATATCAGCTCATGATGAAGGCCTCCAACTTTGCATTCATTAAACATTTCAGGATATTAACGTAAAGTTGTCAGGCTCTACAAAAAGTCTTACTGCATTATAGGCTGTAGGTAGAGTTCAAAATATATGAACCATATGAGCAGTAGCATAATCTACACTTCGAAATTGTGATTTCATTGTTCAATTTCTTACTTTCTTATTTTCATATTTATATAGTTACCCAAACGAACTGATGATATAACCTGGCAATCGTCATTAATTAATCCAGAGTCAACAATGATACATTCTGAACCTCAAACCCCGTTAACAGAACAATGTTTAAGTAATTCAGAAACATCATGGCCAGGAACTGTAAATAATAATAATAGTAATAATAATAATAATAATAATGGTAATAACAATTACAGAACAATAAATATTACAGAAATGAAAAATGGTACATTGAAGAATAATTATTTCCTACCTGTAATGAATACTTCAACAACCCTGAATAGTAATTATAATAATAATAATAATAATAATAATAATATTAGTGATGAACGATCGTATTTCCCTTCGCATCAACTTATTTATCCTTCATTTCCACCTCCACCAATCTCTGGGACAGGAATGGTAACAACATCAATAGCATCACAACCACAACAGTCATCACTACAAACAACAACAACAGCAACAGCAACAACAGTGACATCAAATGGACCAAATATGTCGTCTCGAGGTAGTCCAGTCGGTGCAGCAGCAACATCAACTGGACCTGATGGAGGTGGTGGTTATACAGTAAATGAGAGCACAAATTCTGGTCCTCCTATGTCTTTTTATTCTGTATGCATATAACACATTTCTGTATATGTGTATGACAGCGTTTGTCAGTGTGTGTATGTGTGAGAGAGAGAGTTTGTGAAGGTTACTGGTAAATACACAAATGTGGAATAAAAACAATTTTTACAGATACACATATTTTTTGCCTTAATTTCTATAATAATAATAATAATAACAACAGGGAATTCGATTTCATACTCGTAATAATTAATACTAAATGATAGCACACTTTGATGACTAACTTCTCATTTACTCATGATATACTACTGCACCCACCTACTTTACTACTTTCCCAGCTATATAAATATACACATGCACACAGAACTCCTTCAGAAACATGATTGGTCAGTTGATGAGAAAAGAGAATTTTCGTCAGTTTGGTTTTTTATTTTTCTTGTACAAAATATATATTTTGATTCCTTAATGATAATTATCTCTCTCTCAAAATCTGTCTTAAACAATAATAAAAGTAGTAATAATAGTAATAGTAATAATAATTCTGGAGTAATGACTGATCGATCATGCACACACCAATAATCCCTTTCTTTCCGATCGGATAAATGATGATTTATTTCTTCCTATCGATTGTTTTACTGTTGTTTACTGTCTTCCAGAAATTGAAAGCACAGAAGTAGTAAAGTAATCTATTGTTCTCATTCCCATAGTTTTCTTCTTCTTTGTTTGTTTGTTTGTTTTTTTGTACTAAAGACAATAACTTTCCCCCGGTGCTTGGTTGGTTGACTGGTGTTCATATGCTTTCCAAGAGTTTCTTGTTCCCTATGAGAAAAAACACGTCCTTGTTCCTCATCCTTACATCTTCATTTTACTGAAGATGTATTATTGCTTCGATACATTTCTTCCACGTGTTTTTTTCTCTCTCTCCTCTCTTTCATTATTATGTATCTTCGTTTTTTTGCTACAGATGAATAAAACTTTATAAATTAGAATTAAAAGAACACTATTACAAATTCATTGATGATTTATGTCACGGCGTGTTTTTTGTTTTGCTGTTGTTGTTGTTGTCGAGGTCTAATACACTTGATTCCTTCTATTCATACTTATTATCTGATTATAACACAACTCTGCATAGTTTTTCAGCAGTTTCCGTGTGCATATATGTTGGTCATGTGTGATATTTTTTGGTAAGTTAAAGTCTGTCGACTTCTTACATCTACGCGGAAGTAAGTAGTAGTAACCCCCCTACCCCATTTTTTTATCTAGTAGTCATTCCTTTGTCTGATTCGCGAGAGCGAGAGAGACAGCGAAAAGTATGATGGTTGTTTTTCAAATCTCCAGCCTATGTTTGAACCGTACTCAACCTATTGTTCTTTTTTTGTACACACATATTGGGACACATTGAGCAAGAAAATTATAGACGACGAAGACGCCGCCGCCGCTGCCGACTACGCTAACAAGACAAATAATAGTAATGATGATGATGATAATATTGTACAGCACTCACTTTAATTCTGTATCTTTCTTCATCTGTTCAGCTTATCATCATCATCATCGAATCTTTGTTTGTTTGTTTCCATCTAGGTCTGTGATTAGCCTTTACTACATTGGTGTGTGTGTATGTGTTTATGTGTTGTTGTGATTGTAACTGATCACTTCAGACTATGTGTGTATTCGCTTAACATGATGTTTTGTATGTGTGTATGTAGTTGTGTAATTAATTATGTATTATTCGCTTGATTCTTTTGTAATTTTCTCTTTCACCCTTTCATCTTTTAAAGAAGTGTTGAAGCATATCCTGCCCTGTTTTTAAATTCACTACAGTTATTATATGAATGTTGAATGAGTTAGTCAGTGAGTGAGTGAGTGAGGGAACGTTCATGTGTAACTCTTTGGTTCTTTCTTTTCTTCTTTTATATATAGAATTATAATAGTGTTAATATTTCTTTTTCAAAATAAAAAAAGATTATTGTTCTTATAAATTAGTGTTACTTCATTTCTTTAATCATTTGCATTCCGAGGGTTTTCAAGCTTCAGCTTTGAAGTTCCAATAGTGGGGTTACTACTAGCCTCAAGCCCACCCTCCCTCCTCTCTTTATTAGGTTTACTACCGGCTAAGTGAGGTTGAGTAAGGAGTTGGCCGAGAGTCGAACTTGGACCGCATGCTTGGTTGACGATCGCTCTACCATTGAACCCACCAACACACATTACTTTGAACAAAGCAAGAACTACAGTTTTAGCAGAATAAAATGGTACCATCTTTTATTTCGTTGCCTTCTCGTCAGCTGCTTACAGGGCAAAGACATTATTAAATGTATCTACAAAAACAATTGTAACATACTTGCACAGAGTTCATTTTAAACAAAAATCAATCGATCAATATAGGCATACACTAATTATATATATATATATATATATATATATAATATTAAACACAATTCCGAACAATAATAACCATACACAATTGAAACTTTTCAGCATTTCGCATTCGGATGAAAGAGAGATGAAAACTTTGTCAGGTCGCAATATAACAATTTCGTCATTATTCTTGAGAGCTTTCAGTGCTCTTAGATGCTCTTCAGAAAGGACTTTTAATATGACATTGGGGAAATGAGGTATTGATTTGCAACGTCAACGAGCTTAGATTTGAACCAGCTCCTCTTGTCATCATCAACTGGAGTGAAGTCACTCAGCTGATAGAATAAGTTTTCGAATTGAACTGCGACATCAGTTCTTCCGACAAACTTATTTGGGATGTGAAAGTTAAATCCAAGAGAAAGTGCTTCCATTTCAATGCGATTTAACTTCAGACTCGATAGATTACAGATAAACTCCTCAGGATTTTCTGGGAAAACGTCACAATTTCCCCTTTGTCAGGGATTTCGACAGAGTTTTGTAAAAAATTTCACATGTTTTCTGTTGAAGTCATTGAATGAAATTGACGAATTTGATCCGGCATACTATATTCAAACTATTGACGACGTTACTTTATTGATTTACTGAAATTATGATGAGACTTAGATGTGATATAAGATGATAGTATAGGTAGGTAACTGTATAACTTGGAGTGCAACCTAGCAGACTGTGAACGATACGAACTTAATGGTGCTTGGGAATCTATACTACTCGTTAATTACAATGTCAGTCACCAAGAGAAGAAAACCACTGGCATGCAGTAACAAGAAGAGAAGATAGGCAGCTGAGAGACAGAGAGCTTTCAACTATCCCAAACATCAGTGAAGAATTTTGAGAGCACTGCTAAGTTAATCTGTTAAGCGACCTTGACGGGTACTAAATTCATTGGTAAAGTTAAAGAGTTAACAAGCAGTGAGACAGACAGCACACCATTGAGAAAGGGTGGGAAACACAAAAATAATAATAATGATAGCTTTATTCCAAACATTATTTGTGGTACAGGTATGGAATTTTCAACGTGCATTACAATATTGCATCTAATTACCTCATAAATTTTATAAGATTTTAAAAATAAAAAGCAACAACAACAAAAAGAAAAAAAGATAAATAAAAGAAATAAAAAAAGAACAGCATTGCATTCACATTTTAAACAATGCACCACAGGATATGAAATATAAAATTAGTGTGTAATAGAATATGTGAGCAACAATATAATAGTAACAAAGAAAGGAGAACAAAAGCTAATGGGAACTATTTGTTAGAGTGCCGCAGTAAGTTGATCGTGTCATACCTAACGGATTTCTCATCACATAACAGCTGTGCCAGATAAGGTATTGTGGAGTTCTTGTACTTGGTAGTCCTAGCATATAGCCTCCTATAGTTGCTTCTAGTTCTACCAGATGAAATGCAAGGAGAGAGCTGCGTATAGAGAGGATGCTCGGGGTCTGACAATATAGTATTCGCTAGTTTCTTACATGACATTATATGTCTATCCGTAATGGTGTTAACCAGTTGGTTTAACGAAATCCCACTTGCCCTACTAACAGCTTTTAGTGCCCTACGCAGCAAAGCAAAATCTTTCTTAAGTAGTCCAGGAAAGATTAATGGGGAGCAGTAAAGAGGGATGGGTAGAATACAAGAATTGACAAACTGAGAAAGCAAAGACTGCTTTATACCAGACTGACTTAACTTCCCAACGTAGAACGTTAAGCGAAACATCTTTCTAGTAACTAGCAAGATGTGAGAGGACCAGGAAAGATCGGAGGAAATACTAAGTTCAAGGTACTTGACATTAGATGTAATTTCAACCTCTATGCCGTCAATGATAGTGGGACCATGTGAGCTAGCTAGTTGTTGTAGGTCACGTTTTCGTCTGAAAGTGAAATTTACTACCTGACATTTAGACGGATTCAGCTTAAGACCGTTTGAAGAGGACCACTGACTAATTTCCGACAGAAAGTTATTTAATTTGGAGCAATCTGACTGAGAGTTGACAGGCATAGAGACAGAGAGGTCATCAGCATACTTGACAAAAGTGACTACATCAGAACGGGGCAAGGATGGGGCGCCAAGGATGAGTGAAACGACAATTTAGAGCTATTTCGAGGTTATAAGGCAACAAATTGGAGTTTACAGCAGTCATGTGAAAATACTCGTACCAAACAAGATAAATGAGCTGTGAAAAAGAAGTACACAACTCAGCAATCATTCACGTGTTCGTGTATTATAATCGAATACTACTAATACAACTACTATTACCTGTTTACTCGTGTGCCTGTAGCGGTGAATAATTCACCAAAATTATTATTAGTTTACAACATTTTTCATTTAACACTGGATGCGACCTTCACTGTTTAAGCCGACTTGTTGAGCTGAAGGTAGGCTGTCAGACATCCATACCATTCGGGACGGTTCCATGCTACGTTCGATTGTTCGTGCACGATCCCTAGGTAGCTGAGCAATTATCATCGCACTACGATTCTGATCCCGAAATATATCTCGCATTTCGGATAGTCGATTTGTTGTTGCGATTTGTCTTTGGTCTAAACAGTTTATTATTATTATTATTTCCTTTAGTTCCTAGAGGAACATAGGGCTTCAGCCATGCGTCTCCATTGCGTTCGGTTTTCTGCTAGAGTTTTCAC